AACTTCGTCTTTAGAACGGAGAAATTTTGTCCATGTATACCTAGAGAAGTCATCAACGATCACCAGAGTGTATTTGCGACCGTTGATGCTTTGTACTCTCATAGGTCCACACAGATCCATGTGTATTAGCTGTACCTGATGTGTAGATGAAGGTTCGGTTTTTGACTTGTGGGAGCTTCGCGTCATTTTGCCCATTTTGCAGGCACTACAATGATTTTCAGCGGAAGACTTTAGCAGAGGAAGCCCCTTGACAAGTTTCTTGGAGGACAAAGTTGATAGATGTTTGAAGTTCAGATGGGAGAGACGTCTGTGCCATAGGTTGTTCTGTTCAGTTGAAGCTTTGGACAACAGACAGATGGAAGTGGTGGAGTGGACGCTTTTCAGATCAATAGTGTACAAATTTGATGTTCTGTAACACGTTAATAATGTATTCCCTGTGCTGTCAAGAACACAACATTGTTTTGCAAAGAACCTTACTTCCATCCCGCTGTCACAGAATTGTCCAATCTTCAGTAAGTTGTGTTTGAGCCCTTTGACAAATGAAACATCTTTTATTGTGACACTGGCACACACGACGTCCCCATACCCAAGGATAGGAGATGAGGCGTCATTCCCGAATCTGACATTGCCTCCGTAGCAGTTGGTGTAGTTGCTCAAAAGGTGCTTTATTCCGGTCATGTGGGTTGAGCATCCTGAGTCTAAGTGCCACACATGACCGTCCTGTAAAACAATCAAACAGGTTTAGGTACCCAACTTGGAGTGGGTCCTTCCTTATTATCAAGAAACACCTTTTTAAATCTTGCTTTGAGCTGTGATCCAAGGTCAGCAGCTCTTTCAACAAAAGATCTATCTTTGGTGGGCTTTCCAATAGCCAGATCTGCTTTTGCAGTGTGTCTGGTTTTTGGAGTGCACCTAGCAGTTTCCATTTTGGTGGGTCTGATGTTGTGAACCCACCTTTCCATTTTAGTTCTGGTGGGTCTAAATTTGGGGACCCACCTTTCAGTTTCAGTTTTGATGGGTCTTCGATTGGGGACCCATCTTTCAGTTTCAGTTTGGATGGGTCTTTGTTTGGGGACCCACCTATCTGTTTCAGTTTTGGTAGGTCTCATCTTGGGGACCCACCTCTCAGTTTCAGTTTTGACGGGTCTTATCTTGGGGACCCACCTTTCCGTTTTAGGTTTAGGAGGAGAGTAGACAGATGCTTTGTGATTGAACGGTTGTTTCTTAAGTTTGGTTTTGAAAATCTCCTCCTTAGAAAGCCGATTAAGATGTTTCCTAGAATGAACTCTAAGGGCATATTTCATATCAGGAATACAAAACGTTCCCTTAGAAGTTCCTTTCTTGGTTTCTTTTTCAGGTTTGAGCTTTCTGGGAGGCTTTGATTTAACAACATTCACATCACATTCATAATTATGGGGATCTGGAACAGAATAACCATAAGCAACACTTGTATTATAAATAGAACGTTGTCTAGAAGATGTCTCAGAAATATTTAGCTTGGGACTCAAACCTGAACTACTAGAAGTTTGCTTTGTAGAGACAGAATTACAATTAACTTTGGAGTAAAAAATAGAACTAGATCTAGGGCTGGCATTATTCTCAAAAACTTTCTTTTTGCCATCTGCGATTTCCTTCCTCTTTTTCCTCCACTCATTCTTCTCTTCTCCTTCCTTATTCACTTCATTCCCTGTAAACAAAGGAGAAGAGAGATGAGTGGACGAACCTTTTAAAGCATTGTTTTTCTCATGTGAGGTGTGTGAGCTGTCAGGCTTAGTCGTAGAAGGGTCTGTTTTAGCATGAAACTGCTCACTCAAATCATTAAATTTTTGAAGAAGTTCCTTCCAGTTGCGCTCAAAACCTTTCTTTTCAGTTTCAAATCTCTCTCTCTCTCGTTATCAAGAGTTTTCTGCAGGTTTTTGAGCTTTTGAGCCATGGGAAATATACACGGTTCCTCACCAGTTTTAGCAATACCTACTCTTGGGGGAGGGTCTAGAGGGTGTCCTATGTGAGGAATATCTTTAGCATAAGGGTCAAGGCATTCACTAAAGCAGGAAGTAGGTTTTTCTTCTGAAAGTTGTTTTTCATTTACAGAGGGATAATCACAAGAAATCGCAGGTTTTGGATTCTTTCTCTTTTCTTCTTCTGCTTTAGCGTTTTCTTCATCACTTCGAAAATACATTTTCTCGCCAAACCCTAGTCCCATGTAATCTTTGTTATAGATTTGAAGACAGTTAACTTTCTTTAGATTACGTGGGTTGGTTATGCCCAGTCCTGTTTTAGCATTGTAAAATCGGTCATCCTTTTGTTTGCTGTTAAGCAGAAAAACTGTTTGTTCAGATTGACCTCTTCTAGCTGCTAGATCCTCTAGTTCTTTTACTTTATTTAAGAGTGTTCTTCTCTTGTTTTGCAAAAAATCGCATTCACCCTTTGCTGTGCTTTTTTCCCGTTCACTATCCTCAAATTTCCTAGTTAATTCAGCTATCTTAAGTTCAAAGCTTTCAAAATCTGAGGACACCTTTTTGACTTGATCTTTTGCAATTTCAAGTTGAACACTTAAGGAAGATTTTTGGTCCAGATTCTGTTTCAGTACTCTATGATTATTGTCTAGTCTCTCCTTTAGTTCTTTGATTAGGTTGTCCTTCTCAAGTAAGGACTGCATTTGATTATTTAAAGGAGTATGTGAGGTACTTACAGAGCTTGTTGAGCACTCGCTTTCGGGGATTGCAGCATCACCCTTTCTTTCATCTTCCTCCACGCGTGCCATAAGAGCATAGTTGTCTTCCTCCTCCTCCTCCTCAGAAGAATCTTCTGCCCAGTTCTCATTCTCAGCAATCATGGCAGAGGTTTCTTCTTCTTTCTGCACCATCAGCATTTTCTGCTTATTCCACAACATCTTCTGCTTGTAGAAGTTAGCATCTTTCTTCTTTGGAAGGCGGCAGTCTTTGATAACATGTCCAGGCTTACCGCAATTGTAGCATTTTGGAGCGTCTTCTGCTGATGATGCCTTCCTAGAAGATCCTTGATCATGGTTCTTCTGCTTGTAGTTTGAGGAGGAAGTTCTCAGCTTGTTGGAGGAGCCGTTCTTCTTAGCAAATCTTTTGGCAAGCAGTGCCATCTTCTTCTGTAAATCTGCTAGCTCAGCCTCTAGATCAGATTTGTCATCATCACTATCATCATCATCTGATTCAACCACCACCTTCTTCTTTTTCTTCTTTAGTGAAGTGGTTGTCCTTCTTGGCTGAGCCTCCATTACAAGAGCTAAGGGGTTTGTGGTGTGATGATCCTCAGCACAGGCAACCTCGTTGACGAATTGCTTCAGATGTTCATAGAGTGTGCAGAGGTCAATTTCGTCCAAATCTATCCGAGATCTGACATCCTTCACTGTCTTTTCCCATGCAGGATGCAGGCTGGATAAAAATCTAATATTCAGTTCCAGATTGGACCTGAATACTTTGATTTTTCTGAGTTCATTTACCAGTTGAACGAGTCTGTTGTAAGTCTCATTCAATGGTTCTCCTGGACCTGCTTTGAAGGAGTCATAAGCGATAAGAATCGTAGTTTTCTTGGTTTTGAGGCTGATGCTTGTGCCTTGTAGCAGTTTCTCTATCTCATCCCACATTTCCTTAGCTGTTTGCATGCTGTCTATGAGAACATATACTTCATTTGGGATTGCTTGAAGAAGGTATGTTTTGGCCATGAGGTCACCACGAAGTCTGAGCTTGTCAGCTTCTGTGTATTCAGATGGCACTTTCCTCCTTATTTCTGGAAAAATAGGAGGATTATTTTCTGGATCTCCACCAACTGAAATCAAGAGTTCAGCTGGTCCTTCAAGCAATGATTCAAGCATTGCAGCGGAGTTCTCTTTGTGCTCGAGGAAATTAAGGAATCTGTTCCTCCACATTTGATATTCTCCCTTCCTGAGACTAGGAGGGGTACTGCTGTTCCCTTGTGCATTGTATTCTGAAGCCATTGCTGTACTAAACTGACCGTTCGAGAAAATTTATCAAAAGATTTTCAGAGGAAGAGAGTCGAAAAATCAGATGTCGAGATCTGAATATCGAAATCTCAGATTTCGATAAAGGAGGCCCGGTATCGAGATTTGAGCTCGAAATTAAGGATCTCGAGATTAGGGATCTCGAGATTTCAAATTTCGAGAAGCTGATCTCGAGATTTGAAATGTCGAGAAGTTAAAACTCGAAATCTTAATTCTGAGAAGTCAAATGTCGAGACCAGATGTCGAAACCTTAACTCGAAATCAAGATCTCGAAATCCTAGATGTCGAAATCCTCAATGTCGAAATCCTGCAACCTGTAAAAATCAGATAAACAAAATTTGAAGGTAGTTTCCTGTAGAGTAGAATGTCGAGATCCTCGGGTGAAGTTTTCAGCTCGAAAAACGTAGCAGAACCTGTGAAGAAGCAAGATGTCGACAACCCCTACTCGAGATATCTCGAAATCTGAATATGCGTAAAACACAATCTGAAGTATACCCTTTGATCGCTTTGAAAAGGCAATTCTAAAGGTGTAACTTTTACAATTTTTGAACAAGAAACAAAATTACAGAGCAAAAAATCGACAGTAAGAACAACGTAAACAAAAAACAGAGTATTCTGCAGGAGTTCTTCTGATCGGTTCTCGATTGGCTCTGATACCAATTGTTAGTCCGTGTTTCTGTAACAGCAATGAATAACGATCTAACAACGAAGATTAAACGTAAGGATGAACACAGAATGAATCAACGTAAAACCTTCTTTGATAAACCGTGAACTCGTACAACAGAAAGATATGCGCGTAAGGCTATGAATAATAAGTACGACGTTAACCTATTCCTAAACCTTGGCTCCCTTTTTATAGGCGAGGTTTAGGTTAGGCGTACCAGGCTTTTAGCCTGTTTATATGGACCTAACACTTGGCCCGATTTCTATCTAATTCATGCACTAATTAAATATAAGGATTAAATATAAAGCTAATTTATGACCAACTTGATTCACAATTAAATATCTCCAACCTTGTCCTATATCCAAATTAAATCTTAGATACAGAGCCCGTCTCCTCGATGTCTATCTGATTGCGTTACCTAAGAAGGAACATAGCAGGAGGGATTCAAAGAAGCACTACCGTCTGCGAAGAAGCGTCGTAGCCGGCTGTGTAAGGCCCTTGTTACTACACTGCGAGGTAAACAATTGGATGCTGTGGTCGGACGACGAATTGAGAGAAAATTATGTTTGTTTTCCCCCCATATTTTGTGCGTCCGATGAAGAATTGAAGCCAGCGTTTCCAAAAATTTGTTTGTCAGATGAAGAAGGCCGCACAAATGCTTCAGGTAGATAATTCCTTTTCAATTCATTGCTTGCTTAATGTGTAATTCCTTGCTTAATCTGCCTAAGTTTATCTTTAATAACCTGATTGTGTTCACAATAATCTTGCTAAAGTTAATCTTCTAAAGTTTATCTAAATTTAATCTTAAGTAACCTGTTTGTTAATTATGGATAGATAATGAGCTCATAAAAATTTAACTGAACTATGAACAACCTTTTGAACTCCTAGACATATGACTAAGATTTTGGTAATCTTAAACTGGGTTATCTTCTTGTTGAGTACTCGGCGAGTATTCGCAACTCGGGTATTGACCTTGTCGAGTAGCTACCTAACTCGGTCCGTGTTTTATTTCTGAGTTACTCGCCGAGTACTCGGCGAGTTTCTCAACTCGGTGAAGTTTTCAACTCGGCGAGTACTCGGTCTAACTCGGTTCCCCCTTATAAAATTGAAAAACTAAGTTACAAAACCTAGGTTGAACGGAGTTTCTGACATCTACTATCCCCCTAGAGATGTGACTATGATTTCTCAATAAGTTGTCATCTTCTTCCTCGTATCTTCCCCTCTCCGCTCTCTCGTTTCTTCTAATTTAACCCTCTTATTCTTCTTCGCTATATGTTCTTTTCAGCATTCTTAAAATATCACCATCTTGATTGTTTAATATGGATACCCACTATATATTATACTACGTAACTTTTAATTAATATCACTAGATTGATTGTTTACTATGGCACATCAGTGATTGGTACACACTGTCACACATCATCTAATTGACAATCGTGAACTCTGCTCAGTTTGCTGAGGCTTCTTAATTCTAATGGTGTTTAACTATGCTAATACTACACTTAAAGAGAAAATCAGATGATATAGGATGGACATGGGGAGAAAACAGAGATATTACCATATTATTAGATGATTGATTTTCTTGAAGACTTAGAATGTTTATGACTTTTGCTACTCCATCATTAGCATTTCTATCATTTTATTCATTTCTATGCATTTTAAGATAATTTTAACATTTTTAAGACTGATGTATTTCTATAATCTCGGGCACTTATGTTATTAAATCTAATTAATACAAAGCCGAGTAATCACCGAGTAATCCCGAATAATCGGCCCTACTTGCTACTCGGTCCTTGACCGAGTTACTACCGAGTAGCGAGTTAACTACATAGATCTTAAAGTAATTCTTCATTTCGGTGTATTGGAAAACATCTCTTTATTATAATGATAAATATAAAAGTAGACTTTTTGACAGATCAAAAAATTAAATAAAGTTTTTTTGGATGACCTTGGTAATGCAAATTATGAAACAATATACTTCGATATTTTGTATCCATTCCTTCAACAGTAGGCTATTGGTGGGCATAGAAAATAATTCTCTATTTGTTAAGATAACAATCTGCTCAGATAACAAATTCATTTTGTTATCTAATACTGCATACCATTATTCGTCATTTGAAATTAACACATTAGTCTTAGGAGTCACTTGAATTTCACATTTACTGTATGTTCAACCGAAGTTATTTTGGTTATTTTTGTGTTGAAACATTGTCTCAGACCGTTACACATCTACTATTACATTATTTACATGTGGTGGCATTATTCAAAGCTTTGATTCTTTCTTAAATCCTCAGAACTAGAGAAGGCGCCACATGTTTGATTGAGGTTTAACTCTTACTGCTAAGACGCTAAGCAGTTAAGGATGGTAGTAGTACTAAATATTTCCAGCAAGTAATGGATACAAATTTGTGAATCTTTTACTAAATAACTTATTCACAATATCATCACTTTATTTATGCTTCTTTTAAGCCTGTTTTGCTGCCTTTTAGGCCTATTTTAGTAACACTTTTTTCCTACTTATATGATTTCAGTTTGCACATATAATTGCTTCTTTTATGCTCCTCTTTTGATGCTTTTAGGTGGGGAACTGGAACCCCTTCAGTGCTCTTTAAGAACTCGGTTTGCAACAATGCATGAAAGTGGCACATTGAGATCTGGTATAGTACTCTTTTTAGTTTTTTTGGGATAAAATGTAAATATATATATCTAGAAAATAGCATAGTACAATGCATCACAAAAATCAAAAGATACTATCTAAGCTAGCAAGCTAACCTAAAAAAGAATCTATCGTATCCCCCCCACCTCGTGGTAGGGGAGAGAAGAGAGTAGTACTCTTTTTAGTTAAATTACTTTATGTGGCATTTTGCTTCTTTTAAATCTGGTAAGGAACATGAAGAAGGTATTACCGTTCTTGTCATTTGCATTTGTAAGTCATTTCATTAAAAGAGAGAACGTGTACACTATTGTCTTACTTAAATGGGCAGTTTAATAGAATGGTTGCAGTTCTAGAGTTTCTGACCTGATCGATGACTCTGCTGCACCGTAAGTTCTGATGTACCTTCTGTGTGAATTTGTATTTCTGTTCTCACTTATTTTGAAGTCGATTTATGGTTTAGAATGTATTGTACTGCTTCTGTAAATGATTTTTCACTTGCCAATTGTTCTTATGATATTTTATTTACTTGTTTTTTCTTTTGCAGAAGGCCAAGAGACCAAGAGGAGAAAACAAGAGGAGCATATTAATAAACATAACAAGAAGGGAACAACATATACTTGTGAAGACTATCAACAAATTTAATTACATATGGACCTTATGTGGTTATAGAATATTGGAGATTCAAATTAGTTCATTTTTAGATTTGGTTAATGATAGGGTTACAGGGCTAGGCCCAGAACCTAGTCGGCCCAGACCCCAAACTTGGACCAGCAAGCCCAGGTCCAGTGACCCAGAGCTCGAGTCGGCCCAACCGATCAGGCCCATCAAGGAGCGGAAGCCCAAGATGGCCTGCCTTCCAGCCCGGACAGCAGCCTGCCTCCAGCCCAGCTAGTAGCCTGCCTTGCAGCCCGGCCAGCAACCTACCTACAGCCCAGCAGGGAGCCTGCCTTGCAGCCCGGCCAGCAACCTGCCTACAGCCCAGCAGGGAGCCTGCTGTCCAGTCCAATGAGGAGCCTGCCTTCCAGCCCTGCCAGGAGCCTGTCCTCCAGCCCAGTGGGGAACCTGCCTTCCAGCCCAGTGGGGAGTTGCCTACTGACCCAACCGGAAGCCTGTCTTCCAGTCCAGCGGGGAGCCTGCTTACCGGTCCAACCGGAAGCCTGCCTTTCGGCCTAGCGACGAGCCTATCCTCCACCCCAGTGGGGAGCCTGTCCTCCAGCCAAGCGAGGAGCCTGCCTTCCAGCCCAGCGGAAGCCTGCCGCCCGAGGAGCTCAAGCGTTCTGCCTGCTAGCTAGACCGACCTGCTAGCCATCAAGGAAGAGTAACGGCCAACAATCAATGCGCTATTAATTATGTATTTAATTTCGTATTAATGTTGTAATTAATTTAGTCATTATTATGTTCAGCAGTTACCATTTATAATCGCCTATAAAAGGCAATTCGAATTTCAAATACAGATATGCTATTTTTGACTACCAAATTCCCTTTGCAAATTTCCATATTCGTACTTTCCTAAATTCCTAGTTGAGCGTTCTTACGTAGCTTTCCTAAAAGCCTACGAGCGTCCTTTTTTGGACCAACATTGGCGCATTCAATGAGAGCCTCTATTGTCTCTCACACCGCTCGAGTAGGAACCACAAAGGAAGATGGCTGGAATCTCGTCCCGACGTGGCCATATCTCAGTCCACACCGAGGAATCCACCCGGCCTAGCCGCCAACGTGCCCTCGACAACCATGGACAAAGCAGGGGGCGGCGCGCCAAGACGACCTTCAGAACCGGTTGTCAGGCGACAACGACCTGAGGGCGACGCTCAACCACACCCAGGGTGAGCGCTTGGTCCGCAGTCGGCAGGGGGAGGTCGACGTCATGCTCCGCGCATGGACCCAGCTCGACTCAATGCCGGGGTTGAAGCCCTACAGGAGGCAACTCGAGTTCTTGGGGCCTTGGCTCAAGGTTTCCAGCAAATGGTGTTTGGCGGTAACATGGATGAGCCTGCCCGTCAACAGACGCTGGCAGATGTGGAGGTGTCCTCCAGGCGGCGTGACGAGCGACGCTCTGGATCCAACCAACAAAGAAGGGAAGAAGTCTCCCAGCAGCTTAGCGGGTCCCATCGGCAGGCTGGGAGGGGCGCCCGACAGGGGCGCTCAATGCAAATGGAGGGAGGCTAGCCCTCTCGCCACTCTCACCAGGCGAGCAGTCGGACTGGCTCCATGGAGAGGCAAAATGTGGGGCCCCGACCTCACGTGCACAGACGACTTGGAGGTGCCGCTGGACATGCCCAGCCCCGCGCTAGGGGTGTCCGGGGAAACCCACCGCCGGCCGAGGTGGAAGATCTACGACAGCACCTCGACGAGTTGAGAAGAAGGGTTGTCGGGGGGGCCTTACACGGCCGACCTCCGGATACCCGAACCTTTCACCCGGGCGGTCATGGATGCGTCGTTGCCCAGGGGCTACAAGCCCTGCATCATCGAAGCATACAAGGGCGCTTCTGACCCCCAACATCATGTATCTCGATACCTTTCCTACATGGTAATGATGGGGTACGAGGGCGCCATCCGATGCTGCAGTTTCTCTACCACCTTGGATGGCCCGGCTCGAGAATGGTATGACTCTCTGCCCGACGGGAGTATCACGAACTTCTGTGAGTTGGCTCAGCACTTTCTCTTAAGGTTCGCAAGCTCCCGAGACGTCAAGAAAAACTTTAGCCACTTGTTCGGCCTGAAACAGGGGAAGAAGGAATCATTATCCACCTTCTTAGCAAGGTGGAGGGCCGAGTCAATCAAGGTTCAAAGCGAGCTTTACAAAGATTTCACCAGAAGTCCCCCTACCTCGTACGAAGAGGCGCTTGGCCATGCCGACCGCCAAGCTGAGGCAGAGGACGCCTTGCAGAGGAAGAGAGATGAGGAAGAAGGCGCAAAAGAAGAGAAGAAGAAGGAAGCTGGTTCGGGAGTCGAGAAAACTGATGGCAAAGACGGCGACAAAAACAACAAGTACAATGGTAACAAGAGTAAAGGCAAGGGCAAGGTGGACGTCCTGAGTGGACCACTCATGCCCGTCCAACAACTTACTCCACTTGCTCAGCCGGTCGGGGCCCTCTTCGACTACGCAGAGGAGCAAGGTCTAGTTGACTTTCCGGAGGAGTGTGATGTGGTGACCGCCAAGCGTGACCACGACCAATATTATCAATTCCACCGGAGAGCAGGGCATGATACAGATGAATGCGTCATTCTCCAACGGCAGATTGAAGAGCTCATCCAGAAAGGGTACCTGAGCTAATTTGTTGGCAAACAAGGAAACATGTTGCAGAAAAGGAGCCTGATGTGGCAGCGATCCGACCAAGCTCCCACGTCAAGGGAGAAACAGCCCGCCAAGAAGCGGGAGCTCGGTGCCCTCTCTGAGGAAGAGGATACCAACCTAGGGGATGGATCCAGGAAGCACCATCGATGTTCGTACATATTCGGGGGGACCCCAGGGAGGCGACACCTCTGGAGAATGAAAGCAGTGGGCCCGAGCCTTGTACGCCGGGGAGATAACCAAGGCCGCCGTCGACAAGAGGGTGAGGAGGGATCCTATCTTCTTCACCGACGCAGATTTGCCATCCATGCCTCCGCCGCAAGGGACGCCTTGGTGATCAAGATCGAAATCAATGACACCATCGTTCACCGAGTCCTGGTGGACAATGGGAGCTCTGTTAACATCATGTACTAATGATACCTTCTAGGGTCTCGGCCTGGACCGAAAGAACTTGATCCCAGTAAGAACCCCACTCTCAAGCGTCACCGGTGACTCCATTGAGTCGGAGGGCAGCATAGTCCTCCCCGTGATGGTGGGCTCCGAGCCTTGAGTATCCAGGTTAGACGTTGAATTTATCGTCGTACGCGTAACTTGTGTGCATAAGATCATCGTGGGAAGGCCAGCCTGGAAGACTTGAGGTGTGTAATATCCCACGAACACCTATGCATGAGGTTCCCCACTTCGAATGACGTCGGAGTTGCCAGAGGAGACCAATGGATTGCGAGGAGCTGCTATCTGAAAGCTTGCAAGCAAATCGGTCAAAAGGACTTCAGGATCCACATGATCAACAACAAGGCAGTAAAGCGCGAGAAGGGTCAGCTTCGTGCTGAAACCGCCCCAGAAGACCAAGAGGAAAGCTCCCCATCAAAGGGAAAGGTCCCTTCATGATCGGACCTCGATTAGTTCCAAAGCATGGGATTACGACTTCAATGTGTTCCACTCACATTATGAAAATTCTACTACTTTGCATACGAAATTTTGTCTTCAAAAGAGGTCCGACCTCACTTAGCAATGAAGGGCGGCGGCAAAAAAAACAAAAAAAAGAAAAAAAGAAAAAAAGGTACTATGCCCCCCCTCGGTGTTTGGCCGACATCGGCGAGGCTCTTGAACTGAAAATAGCCAAGCGATTTTCGAGAATCCGAGCAATTTTCTAATGTAAAGATCTAGCCGCGACAGTCGAGGCGACAGTAGGGCCGACCTCCGGGTCGAGAGCGCTCAGGATGCTGACCTCCGGGTCCTTTCGAGTGCTCGCCGCCTAACATCGCTGGCAAAGCAGCTCGCGCTCTCGCCATCCCTGAGTTGGCGGTGCGGGTCCGTTCTGGTGGATCATGCAGGGTCCGCCCCTGTTGTTCGGCTATCCCTGCGGGAGTAACCAGATTATTCCCCATGTCCGGGCAAACTGGACGGGTTAAAGTGACAGAAGGACTGACCCCCGGGTCATGAACGTTCAGGATACCGACCTAAGGGTCCTCCTCGTAGGTTCAATGTCCGACCTTGCTGGCCGAACAAGTCGCATACTTGTTGATTCCATATCAACAGCGAACAGATCACTTCTATCCAACCAGGAGGGGCACGGATAGGCTCGGCCACGCCAGCCTAACCGTCCCCCGGGAGGTTAGAGAAGCCGGATCCCCGAATAAATTGCTAAGTATTCGTAATGCAAAGTGGAGAAAAGGAGACATATGAGTTCAAAATCAAACATCCATTCGAAACACATAGCATTCAAGTGGAAAACAAAGGAAATACAAAATACAAGATCATGGCTGGACAGGCCCAACACCATCAACCTCAGGAATATCATCTAAGCAATTTTCTAAAGTAAAGAGCTAGCCACGACAGTCGAGGCGACAGTAGGGCTGATCTCCGGGTCAAGGGTGCTCAGGATGCTGACCTCCGGGTCCTTTCGAGTGCTCACCACCTAACATCGCTGGCCAAGCAGCTCACACTCTCGCCATGCCCGAGTTGGAAGTGCGGGTCCATTCTGGTGGATCATGCAGGGTCCGCCCCTGTTGTTTGGCTATCCCTGCGGGAGTAACCAGATTATTCCCCAAGTCCGGGCAAACTGGACGGGTTAAAGCGACAGTAGGGCTGACCCCCGGGTCATGAACGTTTAGGATACCGACCTAAGGGTCCTCCTCGTAGGTTCAATGTCCGACCTTGTTGGCCGAACAAGTTGCATACTTGTTGATTCCATATCAACAGTGAACAGATCACTTCTATCCGACTAGGAGGGGCACGGATAGGCTCGGCCACGCCAGCCTAACCGCCCCCTGGGAGGTTAGAGAAGCCGGATCCCCGAATAAATTGCTAAGTATTCGTAATGCAAAGTATAGAAAAAGAAACATATGAATTCAAAATTACTTCAGCCAGATGTCACATCAGTCAACTTCATGCTACAAGCAAAAAAAATGTACATGGTCATGGCCGGGAGAACCCATCGCCATCAAATACAACGATCTAGTCAAGGGGTTGCTAGGAAGCTTAAGGAACTCTCCTGGAATCCGAAAGTCAACTCAGCCATTGACAAGGACGATCTACTCTTGGCCGTCACCTAGGTACTACGCCACCGTCAACTTGCGACTGACGCCTAAGTATTGTGTTGCAGTTAACTTGCATTGCTGAGCACTCCTGAGGAAAATCCATGACTGCCATTTCCACGATAGGGCCGCCTGCCGCCTTACATGTTTCGAAGTTCAAACTGGAAGGTAGGCTCCCCACCGTGGAGCTCTCTAGTCCTCATGATTCTTCACACGTTTGGAGGCCTCTATGGGGCATGAAATCCTGCAAATAGGTTAAAAAGGCTATCAGAATCAAGTAACAAGATAAGGAGCTACGTGGCTCTAAAAACAGTGATAATTCGGGGAGCACCAGCATGCTGAACAGTGCCCACACATGTCGGCTGCACTTATGCTTTTGCGAAGGTCCCAGCCGGCCCGAATTGACCCGTTTCCTGTGGGGGCGAAGCATATATGCAGTTGCAGTAGGACAATCGATATCAACCTCAAAGGTCTCAACGACTTCAACCATGCGGGGATGAAGGTGTCATCAAAAGAGTTTGGATCGCCCACCTACTTCCTACCACCGAGGAGCAGCACTCTGACCTTGGACCCACCACCGCCCGGGTGGCTGCTGGCCTGGAAGTTACACTGCTGATCTTGGATGTCGTCCACCCGAGCACCGTCACCCTGGA